AACGTTTTTCCAATGTTGGTTTCTACATTTTTACTATATGGTGGGTTATACCAGATTATATTTCTGCTTCTGTTTTTGCGATTCTTGGTACCGTTGTCAGTCTTTTCTTCATTTGAGTATTTAAGTTGGTGTTTATATCCACTATTTGTAATAGACCTTTGGTAGATTGGTGTTGCTATGTCAAAAGATTCTTGGTCATAACATATCAAAGAACACTTGCTACACAAAATATTCAATAGAAACACAGTCAAATTAAGTTATAGTTGCATGAACAATATAAAAAACATAATCGACGGACATAACAAAGCTATTCTTTCCAAAGAAATAGTAAAAAATCAGCCTAAAACATGCAATTGTAGGAAAACAATAGATTGCCCCATGTCAGGACGATGTTTGGTGAAATCGGTTGTATATAGAGCTACAGTGGAAACAAACGACGACAAGCCTAAACAAACTTATGTAGGATTAACAGAAAATACCTTTAAAACCCGATTTACAAACCACAAAGCATCATTTAGAAATCCTAAGCTTAAAAACAGCACTGAATTAAGTAAATATATCTGGGAACTCAAAGAAAAAAACATCGACTTTAACATAACATGGAATATCTTAAAACAAGCCTCACCCTACAACCCAGCCTCCGACCGATGCAACTTGTGCCTATGGGAGAAATTCTACATTATCTGCAAACAAGAAAACGCTAAACTTAACAAAAGAAACGAACTTGTATCAACCTGCAGACATTCCAGGAAATACCTATTAAGCAATTTTAAAAAATGAACAGTATTAATATAGTTACGCCCCTTTATTGAGAAACCACCATTTACACTTCATAGTTACGTCCCTTTATTGAGAACTACCATTTACACTTCTGAAGATTGCGTTTTGCGCATGAAACTAATTAGTAAAGGAAAATGTGTTTTTCAATGTGTTGATTGAATATAAATCCATACATACATACAGCTCTGGGATACCATCGAGCACTCTGTCTAGGGTTTGTACTGACTTTTAGTGTTATTGGATTTATATATATATATATATATATATATATATATATATATATATATATATATATATATATATATATACCCCACTAACACACGAAATACACGTGCATCGTTAAAAGAAAATATTTAAGGTATCACACCATATTTAAGTTAAGGTACAGAAACCATACATAAACGTTCAATTAAGCTATATCCGATACGAGAATAATTTAATATAAGCTTTGTAAGTTTCCACAAACTGTTATGTATACATCTTTCTTGCATAGCAGACTGGCGTTTCCGCGAGTTTTACCCATGCCGGAAATTTCATCTGGCATGGGGGTGCCAGGTGAGTCGCGTACCAAACCACAACGTCATTTTAGCGCACTTTATGGATGAACCGCGTTAAAATGACGTCGTTTTAGAAGAAAAATAAGTGCTTAGGATGTCGTCATTTCGCTATTGTAAGAAAATAGCTATGGAGGAAATGACATTAATTTCGATGAACATTTATCATATTGAGGTTAACCATTTTAAATATGAAATTATATAGCAGAATATGCAAAAAAAATATTTGACATATGATTGTGGTTCGGATCGGAATATCCGTCCCTCGAGAACCCGCCCATGTGCGGTAACTCGGCAAGCCTCGTTACCTCAAATGGGCGGGTCCCCTCGGGACGGATATTCCGGTCCGAACCGCAACATATGACATATATTATTAATGTTTTATTGGGCACGTACAGTCTTAATTGTTGTTGCTTTTCAAGACAACCCCTAGTTATATAAGTCAAAGTTCATTTGGAGACGGTAAAATGTAACCACCATAAAGAGAGCATGCTCATGGTATTAACTTTCATTTCCTTCAATAGCATCGAACTCATATTTATAAAAAACAGAAAAATATGACCACAATTTACACTTACTTGGACATCTTTGGGTATTGCTTTTCAATACATCTATAAAAATATATTTTAATAAAACACTAAGGGTTGCAAAATTAACCGAATGTCAACGAGCGCATGAGGAAATATCATCTTGGTTTGAAAACAAAGTGTGCAGGTTTTACATGTGAGACGGACACTAAAGCTTATATACTATTTTATAAACTTAATGAATAAGTGCTTGGTGTCGTAAGTTTGGAACAGTTGCTTCATTTCTATATCTTGGAAATCTAAGGCAGGAAAGATCACCTCAGAGCTATGAAAACAAACAAGAATAATGACAATAACAATGTTGGTTTCAATATGAATTCAATTGAAAATTAAAAGTGTAAAGCTCTTATGCCCCCTGCATGTAGCACCGGCTAAAGCTATATTTAACCATCATCACGAAATGCATCGGAATCAATGACACCTGGAGACAAAGAAATTAGAACAACACGTAGATACAAAAGGAAGTTAATAGGATCCAGACTTGAACATCAAGCCACCATCATCACCAAAATAAAGGCATGGATACTGTATTGTCTTCACTGACAGACGGTCGCGAAGAACAATATATATTTTACAAGATTGCTGGCGTTGGAAGACTTTCAAAGTATTTATTACGGCTATATAGTTACTTAGTGATTTTTTACTTCAAAATTTTCGATGAAATCTCCATAAAACGCTGTGATATTATTACGAGAACAAAAATGTTTTGTAACCGAAAAGGTGAAAGTATTATGAAAACATTTGACATAATTATGATATAGCTTCGTTATATATTTAAAAGAATAGTAACACCTTCAAAATTAACACAGTCTTTTCTTTTCTTTTTGCACTCGTATAAAGTAACAAGTCACGTATAAAATCATTATGATGAACCTAATTCACACTTCAGATCTATTTAAGGACAGTATTGAACGATGCATATCATATAGTTCGCACATATCGGTACAGACGGTGTCTAATAACCCTAGCTATAGATGTATTATTATTGTACATGTGTCTACATGCGTTCAGAATACCATAAGAACTGCAAGACATTTTTTTCGAGAAAACAATATTTTTAAACAAAGATAAAGCTGTTTTTGAAAATGTTAATTATCTCTATAATTATACTTTTAAATGGGAAACATGTGTTTTGAACACATACATTAATTAATTGTCACAACATACATTTATACAGCAAATTTTACCACATTTTGAGATATTTTTTTGGGCTCGCTCCCACAGAAAAAGGTCATCCTCCTGTGGGAATTTCCTAATCCTCGATCTTACGCAATGATTGATTAATCTTTACTCTTACATGGATATACAAACAAAATAAAAAACAGTAAAAAACTATACTGTAAATGGGCACTGAAAATATTTGCATAATTAACAATCTTGTTGGAGAACTTTCATACTTGGAACGACCTAACACCAGTTTGGCACACATATTTTGAATACGTTGAAGTTTGGCTAATTCATTTTGAGATATGCCGTATAGAATGATGTTGCAATAATCTAAATGGGATATTACTAAAGATAAAACAAGTATGAAAGTTCTAAACAGGCATTATTCGATCTGCACTGGCTTCCGATTAAAGCACGAATCAGTTTCAAGATACTGACATACATGTATAACTGTTCGGTAGGAAACGCACCATCATATTTAATAGAGCTTTTGTCTCATCAAGTGTCAAAACGAACCTTAAGATCATCTGAATCCTCTGTTGGTTGTTATGTTGTTCCTTTTAATAAGAAGAGGACTTTTTCTGACAGAGCTTTTAGCATGATAGGACCAAAATTGTGGAATGAACTACCTATTAATATGAGAAAATGTGAATCTGTTGAAATTTTCAAAAGACAACTGAAATCATTTTACTTCAAGGACTTTTTTGCACTTTTTTAAGTGACGCTGAAGGCATTGTCTGTTCCTAATTGTTTTGTGCATGTTTGTATATTTCTTTCAGTTTTTATTATTTTCATTGTACAATAATATAATAAAGTCTAGCCCATGTGTTATCATGTGCAGGGGTACAGGGGTGTAGATTGTTACATGTTGGTGGGGATTACCCAATCACTGTGACCGTCGCACTGCTGGGAGTATTGTGTATGGTAGCACTGGGAGTAGCACATATAAGGTATATAGCTGTACAACGCCATTGAATATGTATTCTATATGTAGAAATAGGCGTTAAATCAAGTTTTCAAGTTTCAAGTTGTTGGAGAAGTGGGCGGGACTAAGACGTTTGACGTCGGCAAAAAAGTATTTTACAAATCGTAAAGCTTTTCGACTTCACCAGAGAATTTGTCCAAAACCTCGATGAAAACAAAACTCAGATTTGTCATCAAGAAACAATATTATCATTACAAAAAAATAAAAAAATGCATGTTTACCAAACTGTCTTAACAAAACTGTTTATTAGTGTCAATAGTTACTTAGTTGACTAAAAGTATTTTACAGTTTAAAATGATTTTCTACTGAGTATCTTTATTTGACCAAACATTAAATGAAAATACTTAAAACGAGTTTCGTATGTCAAGATGTAAGGCTTATCAAGGCTTTAATAATAGCACGTGCCTGTTCAACATAGAATGTGTAGGAATACGTAGAGAAGTATTGCACTAAAACCCATATAAGATTTGCAGCACCGCTATTTTATTAACATTTATGGATTTTTTTATCCGGTAAGAATTGCTTTTCTGAAGCAGAATCGATGTCCCACTCCCATTTGACAATACTTGCAACATTTATTGTAATATCTTCAGCATAATACGTTTTTGCTCCGTGAAATACGAACTATTTTATTTGTATCATATATCTGCCTGAAATAATCTTGACCCACGCGTGCATTGATTATTACATACTTTCTGATTGATGGAGTCAATGGTCTGTGAATGCGTTGGCTTCAAATGGGTATTTTTACGCGAAAGCAAGCACTAAAACAATTAAGACTTCCGCCCTAAGAAAATACAAATATGTGCTGATCATATATCAAATATTCCATTATCACTACTCTGACCAGAGAATCACGAGCTGGGTTCGGATTACAGATAATCTAGTATATAAAGTATGATATCGTATGCTTCTGTGGATATGAAAGAAAAAGGCATCTGTTTGCATCAAGACGTGTTCCTCGGAGAGATATTTATTCAAAAGAAAGGGAACCGAAAAGACAAAGGTATGTACTTCTTTAAATTCAAATGCAGTATCTACTTCTTTAAATTCAAAATTTTAATGCAGTATCTACTTCTTTAAGTTCAAATACAGTATCTATATCTTTAAATTCAAAAATTTAATGCAGTATCTACTTCTTTAAAATCAAATGCAGTATCTACTTCTTTAAATTCAAATGCAGTATGCACTTCTTTAAATTCAAATGCAGGATGTACTATTTTAAATTCAAATGCAGTATGTACTTCTTTGAATTGAAGTGCAGTATCTACTTCTTTAAATTCAAATGCAGTATTTTTTTTATTCAAATGCAGTATCTACTTCTTTGAATTCAAATGCAGTATTCAAATGCAGTATCTTCTTTAACTCTAATTTGTAATAAACAACTTGGAAAAGACAAACGATATATAATAAGGAATTTATTTATATCTTCAAATATATTTGACGTAACGTCTGTTTTCATTTGACACCCGTTTTCACAAATCTGTGTATATTTGCTTCAACAATACCCATCAAATCTTTTCTGTGATTCTGTTTTCATTTCATCCAATACCTCGCTTAATATCTTAAATGGACTTTTTCATCTTTCAATCTGGACAAAACGATTAGTTATTTTTTAGGGAAATATTCAAAATTTATATATTGTGACTGAATAGCGACTTACTAGTATGCATGAAGCATGATCAAACGGTAGACGTCAAGGATATGGCGGCCAATCTTGATTTGCACTGTAAGATTGTGTTTATTTGGTCATTTGTGATTGTTGCTTTGATTTTTGCCTTTTTCGTGTGTGCTGCAAAGTGCACATGTTGAGTATACGTACCAGTTGAGGAAGTTATTGATATAAGATTTTTTAAAGTGATAATGTGGTAATAATCTAACTAAATCCAAAAAAAACTAAACATTTCGAAAAAAACAATTATTTTACGCGTCTGCAGTCGAAATATATTATGCGTATATCATTTATACATATTATTTCAGAGCGCAAGTGTTGTGTGTGATGTATTTTGTACGATATGTGGCACTACTGGCAATAACATTGTCGTCTGCGACATTTGGCGCGGCAATAACTTCATTTGCAACAGGTGAGGGAATGTTTTGATATTTCAAAGTTTAAGACTTGTTGTAAGGACGGACTTGTTGCATTTGTCTATTGTATTCTTGTTTCACTTATGTTTGTAATGCTGTTTTAACAATGTAGGTTTTCAAGTATGTCTCTTTTCCAGTTAGAATGTATCCAAAAAACCTGGGTATCTGTTTTACTGTTGTTGTTATTGTTTAAGACAGTAACAAATCATTATTGTCACATGTATTTATAAAGTTATTGAAAATTATCGATGACACTTACTGTTTGCAGATTATTTCTCCCTAGAATGTATCAAATGATTTATATAATAAATGTTTATAAAAAGGAAAGTGATATTCTTTGAAAAAAAAGAGTTCAAGAAGCAGTTATGTATAATTTTGGTTATATTAAATCAGTTTTTAAACACTTATTATCTAATTTTGATTTTTTGTTTGAAATTGAATCAAACCTTTATCTCAAGTACTTAAACAGAACATTTTATGTGTAGTTCTCTTTATTTCGTTTAGTGTTAATTTATACATTATGTTTATTTAATTTTGTATTGTGATATTTATTCAAATTTTACACTTTGATTTTATTAAATTTCAATATTGTTATTTTTATTCAAATGTAACATTGTTATTGTAATTCCAATTGTTCACACTGAACTTATGTTTATTTGATTTAGACAGTGTTACAGTTATTCAAATTATAAATATAGTGTTGTGTTTATTTAATTTTCACATTGTTGCTTTAATTCAAGTCTTACATTGTTGTGTTGTTGTTTTTTATTCAAGACGACGAAGCTGACTATGAGCACAGTCTTTTTTCTCAGTGGTTAGAATATCTCAAACAAAGATCGATGATAAAATCTGATGACCACGAAATAATTGATGACGTCACTGAAAACGATGGCGTCAGAGAAAACCAATCTTCGACATATATTCTTCATAATCTTGAGAGTCCTGAAGTGAACAGAAGAGCAAACACAGAAATGGATAGATTTAATCATGAAAATAAAGAAAAGAGGGATGATTCCGCCACGACCCTCACTTCCGCCAGCGTCTATGATTGTAAAAGGGGCAGACAATTCAGCGTGTGGTTTCGAATGATGTGCCGAAAAGTAGATAGTACACCTGGATAATAAAGAAAAAAATATAAAGAACAGATAAAATACTTTGAAATATTAATAAAATACATATATCTAAAACATGATAAGATAACTTATTATACAATAAAAAAAAATATTACAAAATATAAAAAAAATAAAAAGGAAACATAATTTCGTTTGTTTGTTTGTTTGTTTTGTTGTTTGTTTTTATGCCTTTTTAAGACACATCGACACTTTAAAGATCATATGGTGAATTTCCAGATTCACTGGCCGAGGAATTTCTGAGTAGAACCATCTTCAGTAAAACATACTGAAAATACAATAAACGAAGTACAGTATAAATATTCGACAGTACACATGTATATAATATTAAAAGCTAATATCAAGTTCATTTCTTTTGAAAAAGAAGAAGTTTTTTTGGGTTTGGACCTTTGGTGTTGCTTGGTTTTATAATGAATTAAGTAACACTACTCTTCTACTTAAAAAAAAACATATCTGTTTTTGTTGTTCGACAAAATTGATGCCGAGGTTTCAAGTTAAATGTTAAATTTCCTAGCATTGTTTTAAATAATGTAGAAGAAGGTTTAATCATGGAAAGCTCTGGAATAACTGTTAATTAATTCATAGATTTTGACTTATATCATCTTTCTTAAATATTGCATTCTATGTACATGCCACAATTGCCATTTGTGGCTGCTGGGTGGACCAAATAACTGGAGTCTATGCATCTCTTTGCTCCAGCAGGTAATGTGGTTTTGACCACTGGTGTTGCTTTGTAAGTTTGTAACACCCGATGTTAGCCAAAATCATCCTTTCTGTTTTGGCCCCATACAGCCCGTGCTGTGCTTATCCGCTGTAAAACAAAGGAAACAAATATGGCATGATTAAGCTACATCTCTTACAACTTAACTTCCATAATTTATCACTAATTGATTGTAAACAATGTGCTTTAAAACTGCCCAAGTAAGTCCTAATTAGTAAAGCTCCCTGTACTATGATTTGTATTTCGTGATCTTAGTTCTTGACGAAATGTACTGTGTTCAGTGCTCTCCATTATTCTACTCGCGTTGAATACTGTCATGACCATTTGAGAACTGAACTTTTTTTATTGGCACATTGAGTAATGATCAGTGAGCAATGTTCTTGACACATCAAGTTATTCAGTGAACTCTGCTCCAGTTGTATCGAGTAATGATGAATGAACATTGTTCGGGTGTGGAGTTTTAAGAAGTGTTCAGATATCACTATTCTCATTATGATAAAAATTGTTGTTAAAAATCGTTTTGGGGGTCCTACTGGGCTCCTTGCCACTGGTTCTTGTTGCTGGGTCGTGTGCGGGTTGCGTTCATTGAACGCAGCCTTGTTTATCATATTTTGAGTGCTTTAAGCAGTACAATATGTGAACATTGGATTGTAAGCATTGGGTAATGATCTTACAAAAATGATAATCATGTCAGACATGGTAAGGCAGACATTGATCATGACATAAGATGTTCATCAGACACTGCTTGTAAATTGTGAGAAGGTTTTGAAGATGCATTTTACTAAATTGCACGATTTTTGTTAAGTGAGTGATTAAAGTTTGGTATTAAAATGCCAGATATGGAAAATTAGTAGAGTACTCACGAAACAACATTTATGCATCAAGGGAGAACTTTATGAGCACAAAATATTTAACATATTTACATAATTCATTCATTTCTAAATCTGAAAGGAAATCATAAGACAAGAAGGTTGTTTGAACTTTGGAAGAAAGTTGATTTGGCGTGTGATTAAGCAATTATCTTGTTTATGAACACAACGCCATTCTTTGAACAGTTAGACAACATTTGTCCAATACATTAAGATATGCAATCTTTTGGAAATAATTTACTTGTTCTCTTTAATAGCATTTTCATTATTTCTTGACGTCGCCACGGACAATCCTAGATCAAAGTTATTAATAATATCGTGCTATCGTGTTGTACACCTTGAAATGTTTGCGACAATTATGACTGTCGCAAGTGATAACCACTCGAGGACGCTGTCAGTTTGCGTGTGCGTGCGATTTGACCAGACTTGGTATCGTTTATAACTATTATTTCAAGTTTAAGCCCTAACATTTATTGATAGAAAATTCAAAGTGGTCGTTAAAGACTTAATATTAATCAAAGATATAAACTTTGAGTCTTTGTGCTGCTCGCAAGTAATAAGAAAGTAAAAAATACAAACCAAAATGTAAAACAAATTATTCGTTTATAATTTCATTTATTTTGTCATCACATTTCTTCAAACGCAATAAGTTTTGAAGTGTTTTTGTTAAAAATTACATTGCTAAACATCATTTTATACGATTTCAAAAACGTCTGAAACCATGTCATCAAAGGAATTGTTTGGCAATTTCGGATCTATACGTGTATAAGTAAGTAAGTAAATATTTTATTAAAGTGACATGTGCAAACATAAATAATGATGACAATATACAGTTACATAAAGGCATGCACCCGGCCCATTGGGCCTATAAGTCACATAATACTTGTCAAAACAGTAAACATGAAAACAATAAGCGAATCAATGGTCATGAGTATATGTAGCTCGTTACAGTGTTATTAGCGTGTTAACGTCAAGTAAAAAAGTTTTTAAAGATATGCCGCCGCTCGTGCCTGAAATAATGCTTTAAGGTGCTTCCGATGTCTTCTCCACCGATAAAGCTAGTAGACAATCGCCATGTGATAACTGAAGTGTCGGTGTTACTGTCTTTTGGCAGTTTGACTTTGATGTGGAGGATTCATAATCTTTGATCACCTTGGGGGCTATACGCCGCGTTTCATAGAATTTCGCTGACGTACCACAGTCACATTGAGGTTCCATGGTAACCACACAATGACCACATTTGCGAACGTTTCTATATTCAAATATTTCATTTTGCCGTTTCGAACGTTCTCCAGGATTCTTCTTAACTCTGTTTTATCACTCAAAAGCAAAACATTTGCACTCATTTGCTTGTCATCAAACTTGCGATATCACTGGAATAGTAGAATAATTTTGGGACGCATACAAATCCCCTGTTGTAATTGGTAAAGCTCATAAAGCTCTAAATGTACTACTGATCAATTGTAATAGATATCAATTAAAACCTAAAGTGTTATGTCAGCTTTTTGACTCTTTTGTTGGTTCAATTTTAAATTACGCTGCTGAAATCTGGGGTTTTACTAAATCAAAGGAAATTGAAAGACTTCATCTTAAATTTTGTAAAAAAAATATTAAATGTGAAAGTTAATTCATGTAATGTTGCTGTGTATGGTGAACTAGCACGTTATCCTTTATATATTTCAAGATATGTTAAGATTTTAAGATTCTGGTTTAAAATGCTTGAGACAGATAATATCATTCTTAAAAATGTATATAGCATTGCAATAATTGCATTCTTTAATGGTAAGAAAAATTGGTTATCAAATCTTAAATTGTTATTATGTAATCATGGTTTTAGTGATATTTGGGATTTTCCAGATTCCGTAAATAGTAAAATATTTTTACCAATATTTAAGCAAAGGTTAATTGATTGTTTTTTACAAAGTTGGCTTTCTGGTAAAGAGAGCAGTCCTGTTTTGTATCTGTATAATCATGTTAAAGATTCTTTTGTATATGAAAATTATCTTGATATAATACCAAGTACTTTAAGGAAGTATCTTACAAGAATTAGAATATCTTCGCATTCATTACACGTGCAAACTGGTAGGTTTCATAGAAATAGAATTGTTAGAAATGAAAGATATTGTTTATATTGTAATCTACATGACGTCGAAGATGAATACCATTTCATTCTAATTTGTCCTTGTTATATTGATATAAGAAAAAAATATATAAAAGATACTATTATATAAGACCTAGTATGCTTAAATTCACTGATATGTTAAAATCAAACAATAGAAGTATACTTTTAAATTTATCCTTGTATGTACGAGATGCGATGTCTCATAGAAATAATTTAGATATAGTAGATACAACTTAATATATTAAAAATTCATCCTCTATATTGATATGAAAGAGACATGTTTAGATCCGATCTTGTGATTTATGTTAGTATGTATTGTAAAATTGTTTATTTATGTATGACGATGTATAATTGTACAAGTCGAAAATAAAGTATCTGTTCTGTTCTGTTCTGTAAAATAGTGTGAAATATTAATGCTTATACAATCTCAAAATGTTGACAATATTAATGAGTGTAGATTAAAGAATGTTTTAATGTCTCATGCAATTATCTACGGCATACTAATCACTATTTGCTTCATTTCTTCATAATTTATAAAACATATTTTATCATTTTCATCCACGCTTCATTACCGTTTTTGGTGGTAAAAAAACGGACTGTACATACACAAAAAGTGAATTGTATTAAAAGTATTGCATTCCAACAACAATAACAATATCTGTACAAATTGGAACTGTGTTTAGGCATTAAAATCGCACTCATGAATACGCTCTCACAAACACAGATTAAATATAATCACGAGGCATAATTTTTCAGACCATTTTTCCCCTGCTTTATCATCCATTCAGAATATCTAAATTTGAAACTTCCTGAAAGTCTATTTTGCATATACGAACGCTTTTAATAGCGTTTATTTATTTAACCAATAATTCTATGTGAACAAGTACAAAAAATGCGCTCATTACAGATACCTTACCAAATCATCCCTACGCACAGGTCATTTTCTACATTATTCCGGATGTTTTGTTAATCATTAAAAATTTGTACAATTATACTTATCGTATGCACTGTCCATAAAAGAGGGGCCAGATATGAAAGAAATGCTTTCACTGATGCCTACCTAATAAGGAAAGTAATTCCAATACAAAAAAGACTTACAAGACTTGTAATGTGACAGACTGACACCATATCTCTGTTTGTGTCTCTACTGTAGTCAGTTATTATAGATTATAAAAAATATCAAAGCCAAAACAAAAACTTGGCGTCCAAGCAAGAAATGCAGCAAGTGAAGATAGTAGACAGATATTCTTTTAAACTTTTCACTGGTTAATTGGTTAATACCAGAATTGTATATCATTTATGATTTGGCGGTCGAAAGACATTGTTCATCATGAAATTTGGTAGGCATGCTAGAAATTAGAATATTAAACGTCTTTTCCACAGGAACTTGAAATTCTATCAATATTAACGATAATATCCAAAATATACCTATAATATTCAAAACATACCCACTATATAGTATATGTTTATCTATACTATATAGGGGGTATTTTTGTATATTATCATTTATTTTGGTTATTTGATAGAATTTCAAGCTCCTGTGGTATTTTCTTTGAAACATACCAAACAGTAGTCAAAATAAACAAAGTATGTTAATTGATTTATTGGGAAGTCAATCTACTTTTTTCTTGAATTGCTTCAAAAACCTCGTCTGACCCACCACACCAGTATGTTTACATTCCCATAATAACTAATGTTAAAACTGCAGACGAAAGTTTCTGTTGTTTAAATGTCACAATATTCGGCAAATGAACCTTCCACTCAAACTACCATAAAACCGATTGCCTTCAAACAAAATATAGAACAGGAAAAATTAGGGAAATCAGGAGTCGATTGCAGCAGTGACTTTTTAGCTAAAGAGACTTGAACAGCGAATAGGTTTTATAGAACACTACTGCTAGACCTGTTTACTGGAAAGCCAGCACTATATCGATTTAAATATTCACGGTAAAAAATGTCAATCAGGGCCGTAAAAAAGGAACAGGAAAAAAACTTTCGGAAAAGACAATTTCCAAATGATAATACTATGATAATAATTTATCATAACAATTCGTAAAAATGGCCTACTTAATTTTTTCCATAAATTTATAAAGAGTGCAATTTATTGTTTGAATATGTTTGCATTTCATTTCCTGCAAAATTCTCCAGTTCGTTATTTATAACCATAGCGCGATACGAATGACCGTTTCGTTAAATTAAAACTTCTTCTATAAATAGATTTTCGGAATTTCACAATGTTACGGTCATCATTCTATTTATAGCTTTCGAAATAAAATACCTAATAACCCACTGTGTACATTTGTACTACAAAATAATTAATAATTTCCTGTAGAGTATGCAAATGTAAGAAATAAATTATCGAATTTAAGTTTATTTTTTGTAAATATCTTATGTCATTTAATTAAATAGTGGTTTTTTTTTTCAATTTACATGTCAGTGAAATTTATTGAAGATTAAAGTGAAAAAAAACACTTTGTTCTTGGTGCTGATACTTATAAAATAAAATGTAGCCAAGCTGACGCATCTATAAACTCTAGTGTTGAACTGTCAAGCAGTAAGGTTTCATTAAGTTTGAAATAAGTTTAAAAATAATAGCTCGTAGTCGTTATAAATTATTCAGAGACCAATAGGAAAAAAACAAATTTAAAAGTACAATTTTACATTAAGCATACATATACCATCATAGTATGAAGGCATTTAATACGGGAAATATAACTGGAAGTGATTTTTCGAAAGATGGTCTGATTGAATTTCACACTGTTTTCACTAGCTCAAACATTGATCATGTTTTGAAACATTTTTAAGTGGACGATTTGTTGGTCGTATAAAATATTTTCTTACAATATAAAATTTCAGCTTTAACACAATTTTAAATAAATATCAAAAAAAGTATAGTAATACTTTGATAAACAACTGCTGAAAGCGATTTCATTTATAAAACCAGTTTTTTGTACTTTGGCACATTTACTTTAAATGTTGTTAGGACGTATTCCACACGCACTTACATAGGTGTTACCTACACAATACCATAATGGTGGGAATCATGCACATGCTTTTAGAGAAAACACGTCAAGTACCGACATTAATACACGTTTGACACATTGAAGTTAATAACATTTGACGATTATAGATACGCATCAAATAAGAATTACTGCTCAGGGAAAAACATAGGGTATCAAATTAAAACATTATCGTTTTCAATGGCAAAGAGCTTTTAGCCCTACCGTTAACTTTCACATTTAAACCAGGGTATCTTGAAACTGATATAACAGATACTATTGTTGATTTTCCCCCGATGTTTTTGTAACAGTGTGCAATGTTTTATCGCTATTTAATGGAATTCTTCTCCAATCTCGTCGCTTCAGCATATATGGCATTTACAAGTCTTAGACAATTTAGTGTAATTCCAACAGACGCATCGTCAGTTAATAAACCATGCTGGTTTCACGCCATCGTTACCACTTTAGTAAAGTGACCATTTTTCTACTAGTTTCTTGGTTTTGGAATTGCCAGGGACTTTCAAAATGGCAAAATGGACAAGAAAATCCTTTGTTAAAAGGTGAGTGATTAAAAATATTTCTTATATTTTAATTACCGTTATTTAATTTTAGATACCACTGTTATCAATTTCGTCAACGATGCATGTTCCGTATACACATTTACTCACTAAAGTACTATCATCCGAGGTGTATTTGTTAAATTAATTAATTTTACAGTATCAAATATTAAAATTGTCTAGTATTTATTTCTTTTAATTTCTTTTTTACTTTAATTACAGTTTTTATTATGATTCATGCATAATTATGTATTTCTTCTCTTTCTGACTGATTTGCATTAAGAAAGGTTTGTTACATCGAATTTCAGACTTACATTTTTTTTTAATTTTGATAAGCTGTTTTACTTTAAAACTTTCTTTCTTATCATTTGTTATGAAAGAAAAGCTACATTTCTTGTTATTTCAAATATTATGTGCAACTTGGCTTGATTGTTTTTATATATTATATGCAAATGAATCAGGATTTCAATCAATTCAATTCAAAGTAATTGTTATTTTCATGTTTTGTAATTGTTTCATTCTGGGGGGATTCAAACTGGATTATCGTCATCATTTTTTTCAAATTAATTATTTCAAATATCTAAAAATCAATTCCCTTGATTTGCGTTTTTTTCAACTTTGTGAGATCCATCTAAATAATTTCAGTTTCGGGATTGTAAGATAATTAGTGGCAACATCGTGTCGGGGTACCTAATATAATATTATCAATTTGTCTGATATATATACAATTTGCTTATATAGTTACACTTCACATGAAGGAAAAGAAATGATTATTTTTCTTGAGAATATACATGTAATTATAATAAAATTAATCTTCCATATCTGCGCTTGTCATTCTGGTTAACAATTTTGTCAAATACGGGTCATTCCTTTTCAAGAATGTCCTGCGAAATTTTCCGGAACGACTGTATGTTATAAACTATTAATGAGTCGCTAAAATATTTTATTAGTACTTGCTTAATATTAATCTTTTTTTTTAGAAATTAGTTATTTAAATAAAGGCATCATTTAATTAAGAAATTAGAAGACTTATATATTGTTTAATAAATTTCATTTTTCAAATTGTATTTTAAATTGTAATTGTACAATGCTGACCAAACCATGTACAAAACAGTGGGTCTAAGGTTCGACATCGTATACAGACACCTAGTTCATTTAATGCTGATACATAATAATTCGCTCCATGTCAAAATATTATTTTAATTTATTAACGTAAAACATATTCAGTATTCTTGCCCACTTGAGAAGTATATCAATATATATAAAACAAATTGCATGTGATATTGCACCTTCAAATAAAAGTAACGTTCGCGAAAAAAGACAATTTCAAGCAAATTATATTATTTATTTAGTTTTCATTTAAGTTTGGTTTTCAATGGTTGACGGGTAAATAAGTTATATGTTTGATAAGTGAAGCAATCACACGAACGCCGCTCAAGCATTCATATAAGTTAAATAATTTGCACACTGAATATGTAAAAATTCAATCTTTGAAGCAACATGCTTTCATATTTGTGTCATTCTATTTTCTTTTTTTTTTTAAGTTTAAAAAATGTTTAACAAGAAAAAAAGTTGTCAAATGTACAATTCATGTAAACTGTTAATCGGTGAGGATGACATCACAATTTAACTTCCCTCCTTTTCCCGCTGATTTGGAATTAAAGAGTGAATTTTAAAAATATGTATTTTATTGCATATATATATGTACTGAAAAGCATATTAAAATGAAAGCAACGCTTGCCTCATAATTCATGCTAATTTAGGAAGAAAACTTAGGATATATTCTATAATGAAATAAAAAATGTTGTCAAGTGTACAAATGCTGTCCAAAGGCATACATCTCTCTTTAGGTCAAATTAAACATAAAGAGACAATATTCAGTTTATAACAGGGTAAAAATATCGAGATGGAAAAATAAATATATAATTTACTTTACATCCATTGTGAATAATATGAATTTATCGTAAAATATACCTATGTGTACGGTATTCCGGATATTAACTTAAACTTTAAGTGAAATTTAAGTAAAACATTTACTTAGGACCCCCTTGAAAATGTCCAACCCCATCTTGATGAAATTTATAACTCCTCTTTAAAAAAGATACTTGGATCCGCACCTGTTTTTGTTGTTTTTTTATCGTACTGAATACAAAATAAGTAACTTTAGCTGCTTTCTTCTTCTATATTTCAATACAATTTCATTTGACAATATTGTTCATTTTGAGATGCGAAAGAAAATGGATTAATCAAACATTATTTGCGAATTCTTAACACACCGATAATTTCTCTGTCTATACAAACTGGTGTTTTTGGCTTTAGATAAGGATGATATGAGCCGCGTCACGACAAAACCAACATAATGCGTTTCAACCAGCATGGATCCAGACCAGCCTGCGCATTCGCGCAGTCTGATCAGGATCCATGCTGTTCGCTAACCAACTCTATTACAAGTAGAGGAACTGATAGCGAACAGCATGGATCCTGATCAGACTGTCTGGATCCTTGCTGGTCGCAAACGCATTATGTAGGTTTTGTCATGACGCGGCTCATATGTTTTGTGCAATGTAATGATTGTTTCCGACATGATCTAGATCTGTATTAAACTTCCTTGTTTTATATGAATTTATTCTTGTTCATTTAATATGCACCAGACAAACAAATCAAAGATAAAGTAAACATTGCACACACACACTCGAAGAAAGAAAAACGCTGAATAGATTTGTTTTAATAGGTTTGATCATATATTAATTAATCACATATCTTTCATCTGCTTTTTGATGTTAATATTACAATAAAAATACAAATCAGATTGTTTGAAGTAAGAAATAAGGTAAATATCAAGATTTTTGAAATCAAATAAAACACATTCCCTTCGTGATCCAATTTATTTGTAATTATGAGTTTTTTACGTGTTCAGTATTCTCAATATCTGTTTCCAGAAATGCTATTGTCATGTCATATACAACCATTTATTTGATATATTTGAGCGCAAATAAATCGTAACTAATTTTACAACTTTATACAGAACTTTATTCTCGAGTTTTACATTTGTGTTAACTTTATCTTTTAGGCTACTACAGCGGGGCTCTTAAGTTGCATAATCTACTGAAAGCACTGTCTGTCGAAGATGTTCCAGAGAATTACCTAGATCTTTACAATGACGTTGCTGCAATTGAATCAGAGGATATCGACGACACAAAACCAGCGCTTTCTTTATTTTGGGAAGGCATGAAAACCGATGGCGATAGAGACAATATATTTGGCGAAAAGGAAATGGTTGCTAAAAGAAATGATTTGAACTCAATTTGTCGGAAAGGAAATGTTTTCGGTAGTTGGTTAGTCCGATTATGTAACGATAGAAGGAGTGTCAGATAATAAAGCAAGCCTTCTTCAAGATCTAAAACAGTCATTTCTAAACAACAGACTCGTTTCAGACTTTTGTGTCTTGTTATTCATCATGGTTAATACAAAATACATAAACTTTGAAAAAATCGGTATTACGAAAATGTTAAAGAACAAGGACACATGCATAAATTATTTCAATATTGAAAAAAAGAAAATAAGAAAAAGTAAAAAATAAGCAAGCATTTGAAGCAGCTTTTTCCTGTTGTATTTTAATATAATTATACATACATTTAAAAAATATGAAATTTAATCTTTCATGCCTTTCCTTTATTAGTTATTTTAATATGCATGTCTCATGTATAAATTGAAACAAAATGGTAAAAATTGTAAAAATTACTATCCAAAAGGAATTCATAAACTTAAATAAAAGAAGAATCAATACTTTTGTCTTGTTTTATACTTTGTCTTTCACTGTTTGTTTCCTCTTTTAAAGGTTTGTCTAGAAATTAATATTTGAAAAAATTACTATAGACTACCTAGGTTTAAACTTTCTCGTTTGTTTTCTCTATTCCCAGTGATCTCGAAAAAAATTAGAAATAATGCACATATATTTCCCATTGCGGCATTTTAATGTCACGCGACAGAACGTGATTAATAAACTCTCTGCTATCACTTAACAACAAAATATCGTGACTTGATTTTAAACAAATACAAAAATACCTTCACACCTATGGTGAATGCTATTTCCCTGTTGTTTTTTTTTTGTATACAATATTTGAAAGAATTGCGTTAATGGTATAATATCAAACAAATTTAACAATCTTATCGGTGTATTTAATTTAAATTTTTGACCAATCAATGACTTTTTCATTGGCATGTTTCTTATTTATTTTGATAGGCAGCAACATTAATTTAGGATATTTGAATATCAATGTCACATGCCGCGCGAATAAATACTTTCTTAGAACATATTGTAGACGAAAAAAATCACAAGCAAAACATTCTTATGAATTTATAATTTCCTAGGTGCAATAACTCAGGGAAGACAAGTATCAAACATTTAATTCACAAAAAAATATTTCTTGAAATAATTGCAGACGAGAAAAAGTTTAATGTTGACAATAGATAAATATAATACGCGTGAGCATCATATTTCCAGCATATCATGCAGAAGTGCAGGAATTCACGGGAGATGAATATAAATATTACATTTGTACCATGACCAAATGTTTCAATAAACAAACACATTTTCTACCCCAAAGTATTTGACTTCTTTTCTGTAGAAAGATTTTTCAAAGTTTGTCAAAACTTTGTTTTGACCATTTTTATTCTTATCAGTTTGTACAATGTACTATAATAAACAACCATACAACAGTCCAATATACTTGGTACTAAAATTATATCATAACAGAAATTGTAGACTAGTATAAAATAAGATTCATCTTCTATAATACAAGGATTACACATTTGATAAATACATGCCTTCTGTACTTCACCGTACCCCCGTTTTTAAATCTGCTTGAAATTGTATAGATATTCTTAGATGGTTCTAATAATGCATCAAGAGGACATCGAATTTTTTTTAAAGCTTATTTCATACATTTACATTTGTGACGTTGACAATATAGAAACTAGATAAAGAAGAGCCACGACTCTAACAGGAAGGAAAGCAACAAAATGTCTGTTTGTATGTACCATGGGAAATGATGAATAGTGCAGTTTTATCATTGTTTTTATGAGAATTTATCTTTTATTTAACAAACTAAATTCCCAATTTGGAGATAACTCATATACCGTTGGGAAAAAAAGTTTTTTTTAACCTCTTTTTCTTTCTATTAGGAGGACTTAAATCTTGTTGAAATCGCTCTCAAAGTTGCTACCTTCATTGATAATGACTCATGTCAAGCATTTGCTCATGACAGTCAAACATTCCTGCTACAATTTACTATTGAAGAAGTTCCATTGCTTAGTTTTTCTGTCGCATAACTATCTGTTTTACATGTAAATGAAAATAAACAACTTGAGAAAGAAAGAATAAATCCTGTGTAGTGATATATATTTAAATCCAAACACTATCCGTCCCAATGAAATTTCCGGGTTCATGAATTTTCTACAAAATTGGATTTTAAACATCTTCTCATACAATAAAGCACAGTGGTGAGTTGTACTCGCTCATTTTCCTGAAAATTAACGAATTGAGCGTAGCTTGGAAAGAAACAACAAATGCTTAGGGCAATAACTTTTCTATAAACGTAATACTGTTCCAAAACATATTTGAACTTTAAATTAATTGTATTTAACCTAGGAAATATGATGATATATCTGTAATATTTCATACAGTGACACATGTTTTGTTCGTTTTAAAATTAGCATTTTGATTTTTTGTACAAACTAAGAAGCAACAATATGTAGATCAATTATGATATCATATGTTGAAATATCAATAAAAAACTTCATAAAAGTATTAGTTTGGAACAGTATACTACGTTTTAAGGCATTCTAACTCTGGACCATGTGTGGTGTTTTTAACTTTGTGAGAAATATTTTTTCATTCAGAAAACCCAAGAAAACAATAATACTCCTAATAGTTATCATGTATGTTTTCTTAAAAAACTTGCCAAGTGCAAAAACCAGAATGATTCTTAAATCGATTGTCAGAGTTATTTAATAGACTTTAATATTTTTTCTCAATAAACTAAATATTTGCCCATTACAATTATCTTTTGAATTTGGTTTTTAGTTTCTAACACATTTGAATGATTTATTTCATTTCAATTCTTTTATACATTCAGGTCACTATTCTTTATAAAAAGATTCGCGAAAAAAAAACGTTTTAAGTGAATATTGCCAACTATTATAGTCGTAAGATTATGCATCCATTATGAACTTTTGATAATCTTCGTCACTTAATGTAAGTATCTTATATTTAGATCAAACAAATGTCGAAATGATCAACATTTCGCCCACTCTATGCATTTTAGAGATACATATAAGACAATTATCGTGGTAACCACATCAATGTCTCGCCAACGTTTTAAAATGATTAAAACTCCATTTGCTATATTGAAAAAATAATTTCCCGATCCCTGTCATGCAGAAAATTTTAAGCCTTTCATACAATTCGAAAGACGAACTTTATTGAAGTGTGTTTTAATTAGTTTTTCTTAACACGACATCTCTATGGTACTTGGAATGTGACAGAATGGCTTCTGGAATTTGGGGTATTACGTACATAACTTTCTTGACATTTGTCAATCGCTTGGCAATGCATGGACGACGAACATTTTTGGTGGCCCAAATCGCATTAAATCGCTCCTCGTTCTTGTCAGGTGTTAGCAAAATGGCAGTTACTTGCCTGACTTTTCAAGTAATTCTTCAGAATCGTATGAGTTGACCCTTTTGATATTTCTTGTATTATGGGCTATCTGGGTAAGTGAAAGCCTACCATCTTTGTCAATGTTAAGCTTGATTATATAAATGTTTTGTCAGTTACTATTGCGCGTGTTTTACTAGACTTACAGGCATCTTTAACTGACTCGTGCTCATTTTTATTTTTAGTTTTTTTGCATCCAAATCGAAACAATTGCACAAGGTACTTCATTGTTGCCCTCAATATTGCAAATATTATAAACACCTATACCAGATTTTCCTAGTTTTCCTAAGATTTTTATTTAGCACTTTTAACTATGCGTTTACTAGTCATATTTCACATGAAGTTACTCGTGTAAGGTATTTTTAAGTGTGAATAACATTCATAAGCGGTTGACTACACACATGATTTTGTTATCATTCATAATATAGTATACTCAAACACAAGACTCGCCGACAAAATTTAGAAAATATACTTGATATTGCATTATATATTGACCAACTTTCATAGAATTCCCGCCAAGTAAAGGCGGGTATACCTCTCCAATACCCATAACCCCACAACCCCCGCTTCTGAAACCAAACCTAGTCTCTAATTTTCAACTTGAAATTATTATGAATTCTTTTTGTTGATATTCAGTTTAAAACATTAAGTGTGAATTCTTGAAGATGATGAGAACTTAAGAAGTCACTACCGTTTTTGTATTTTCTTATCACATATCAGGAAATACAATGCTGACATTCAATCTCTGGGACAGAATTTCATGACAAACCTAACCTCAAAACAGCTTAAAACTAGCGATGTAAAAGAAAGACATATTTTTATTTTGTTACAAGTATCCAACAAATTAAAACGCATTCAAAGTTTCAAAGTAAAGTTGGCCTATAGAATTGTCAATTAATGCACAATCACAAATTACGCGGATGAATATCATTTTAAACAATGAAAATGCTCATTAGCTATGTCGATTACCGAATTCTTCACAGCGTATTACACAATTAAATCTGAATAGTGGACTACATGAATATACATGTCGGACTGTTTTGGCAATAAGATTTTCTCTAAATTATTTACATCAGTGTTGAACAAAATACCTCGAAATTAATAAGGATTACAAACCCGAAATGGAAATTCCAAAGTTAGAATTATTTGATTTTATTCAGGCTTGCTTCGTATAACTTCCGCGTGATGCAGAGGTAACGCTCTCGTTTAGGGTATGAGAGGTCTGGGGTTCAAATCCCAGTCGATGCAACCTTTTTTTGTTGTCTTTTTTTAAGGAAGTAGCCACGATATGCAAGAATAAAGTGTGGCTGTCATTAAAGATAAACATAAATGAGTTTTAGATGCAACTCTACTGTAGTCATGCAAAATTCAGTACGTATCAAACTCAAACTGTTATAGTAAAAAATCTAAACGCAGTCGATGCATCATTGTGCCCTGCAAGATTAATCATAGTATATAAAATAAACTTATACAGGAAAATAGATACATATATACAGTACAATATAGATTGCAAAGATCAGAAAATGCCACAGAGCTTGCAGCCCTTTGATATGTATGTATCATCACTCTACGGCATGTTTCGTATGGGCACACCCTGCTTATTCAATCCCAAAGGCCATTTGAAAGCGTGTTGGCGTTCTGTAAAATTTATCGGGAAGAATTGAATAATGATTAAAAATTGTAGAATTTTTTTTTGGTCATTTCAAAATTACAAACTTTAATCTAAGGTATCTCATTGGTCGTTCAAATACAATTTAAACAATATAAAGGAGATTTCAAGTTAAGTTTCCAGGAAACTTGACAACAATAAACCATGCTTCATCCAAAATTATTTTACATATTAGATTTTAAACTTTTATTAAATTTTCGAGTGAATAAATAGTGGAACATTCTAAATTTGCTCTTTAAAATGACAGCAAAAACAGAAAAATAAACTTCAGGAGCAAATAACTAAAAGAATTAGGATGATGACCCCAATTGTTTTTTATATACATTTATCTAAATTGTACGTCTATATACAAACACAAGAAAAGACAAAGACAACTGTACCGTCTGCCCACAGCTTTGT